CTTAACTTTAAGCATATGCTTAACTTTAAGCATATACTTAAAAAAGTGTATCTCAAAGGTTCTTAAGTATACATTCTCAAATTTTAAGTTGAGAACGGGCTCAATATTTGAGAATGGTAAGGAGCATGCTTAAATATTTAAGAACGTGCTTAAATACACAAAATGGCCAACTGTAATTGTCTGATCAGTCATGAAATTCAGCCGTTAAAAACGTGTAAGGAGACAAAAGGCACAGTGTTTATAGTTATTTTTCATTTATCTATTTATTTATTTATTCATAATTAGCCAACACTTTGGATTTAATTAGAAAACCAGCATTTGTGGCCATTTCTGACCCCACCGGAGTAAAATTTTCATATCAGGAATACATGCATAATGATAGGCACCTTTCCTCAAATATTTCTTACCCAGATCTAGAATTTCGATAAAGGAAATGTTGTAAATGCAACAATTAATGTCATAGCATTTCTTATTACATTAACAATCTCGTTACAACCTGTCAATCTCGTTCCACGCTTTTAAAACTAGGTCATTGCTTTGTTAATGAGAGAAGTATTACATAAATTGTAGTTATTGTTGTTAATTGTTTGATTACCGAACTGACTGATTAACCAGTTACTCGGTCAGAAGATTTTTCAAATAACCGGTTAGTAAAGAGCTGTGGCGGGTTGCTATGCCTATTTCCCCAAATCTATGACCTGCTAGCAAACCGTGCACTATTATGACGCGTACTCGGGTATTTCTATACAGGTATAGCTCTATCGGAATCCCGTATCTAAGAATAGATTATTGTAAACAGACGAATTTAAGGTCATGGCTATTAATACATGCGTTTCACGATAAAGACTCAACAAAATGCTTATTTCGCGTTATGCTGTATAAAACACAAGGTCGTACAATCAAAACCAAGTTTGGTCTACGTCATGCCGTTACATGTTTTCTTAAAAAGCATGCATCTTGAATTTGTTCTTCCTGTACCTTGGAATGGTAAAATTACATATAGTTTTCGAATAGCATATTTTGTATTTCGGCATCATTTGTTTGTGTTTAGATAATAAATAAAAATACTAGTGCCAATTGGAGTGTAAAACAATTCATAAAACAAAGCGTATCTGTACTGTACACGCGTACAGGGATTTGTTGACATGATCCCATAAAAGATAAATCAATAGGTATGTTATTAAAATATCAATAAAATGTTCCATTGATTTGAAAACTATTTTTTAATTTACTAAGGAAAATGTTCACTTGCCTAAATATTAAAAAAGAAAGAAGAAAAAAAGTGTATCTGAATGTGAATTCGAACCTACACCGTTCATATTTCTGGTTACAAGCTAACTGCGTTACACATGAGGCTACATGTACACCGGACATAGACGAACATGGAAATACAAACTCCTTTAACCAAAGAAACATCTGTCGCAGTTTTTAAAACTTGATCAACCATGGAGGACCACTTTACCGTCATACGATTTGTTTTTGCATATTACATCACGGAATCAAAAAGCTTATTCAAAAATTGGTCCTCGGATGGGAAAGTATTAAAAGCAATTTTTAAGTCGGAGAAACCCCATCACTTTCATAGATGTAGTGAATATGGCTATATTTGCAGTATTATATTAACAATACCGAATATCTCAACAGTTCAAAAATTAATATTCAATTGGTTTTATATCTATTCCATGCATTTTCGCTACTAAAAAATATTTAATCATCAATATTTTTTTCCGTTTTCAAAAATGCCGACTTAGGGAAATACGGGCAGTTTTCCACCATACCTCTTTGTCTGGTTTGACAACCCTAATTTTAACATTATAGTGAACACGTTAAAATGAGTTTTTTTCTTCAAATTTAACCCAATAGGCTTCTGTACCAGACATTTTCATTTAAAGTGTGGAACCTTTTTTATCCCCTCCCGCGGGGAGTGGTGGTGGTGTATGGGGTAAGGGGGTGTTTTGTTCCGTGCGTACATATGTAACACCCTTTTTTCATCGCTCTATTGCATTCATATCTGAACATATGAAGCTGTACCTTTGTATAGAAAAGTTTCCAGTCATGGTTCTAATGAATCGTCATAAATAAATAAATTTATTCAGTTTAGGATAATTATTCAATATTTTCTTTTAATATCTAGCATTCAATAATATGTCTGTCATAACAACAAAAATGGTGTCATCTGTTTTTTAATATCCAATTCAGCTTGAAAACTTAATTATGGTTTTCAATGCACTGCAAAAGAAGTGCTGGATTATCTATCCTAGTTAATTCCCGAAGTATTTCATACACTGATATTACCTTTTAGAGTTCCAAATAGGGCCCCTTATGTATCAACAAACACATTCTTAGTTAAGTACGTTCTCAAACATTTAAGAACGCCTTCGAGATACACCAATTTGAGAAATTCTCAGCTAAGTACGTACTTAGCTTAAGAATGGAAAGTTAAGAATTGAGAATTAAGAAGTTTCGAGATTCCGGGGCCTGGTAAACATCTCGCCAGGTCCGACACATTGGCCACATTTATGCGAAATGACATATTGACAAAATACTTTACAATTCACAAATCAAAATTCGCGGCAAATTTACATGTATATGCAATGTATTTCTGAAAGAAAACAGAACTTACTTTTAGTGTGTGACGGCGCCTGTTTTGTTGATATCCCGGGATTATCCTGAAGAATTTCTCCGACGAAAGAAAACCACAACAGAAAACCACTTGTCAAGCACCGTCTGCTGCACACAAAACACGTCCACTCTCCCGTCCACTTCACAAGTGAATATCACCAACGAAACCGTGAGACACGTGAATTCGTGGTCACTTCTGACACCATTGAAGCATCTACTGCTTACGTATTATACTTTACGATACTATATTCTACGGTATCTTGGTGAACTTGTAGCGGATCTCTCAATCACACGCAGACTGATCTCTCGCTCTATTTACACTCACTGCGCATGCGCTACTCGCTTTTTGTTTTTTCTATTTACACTCACTGCGCATGCGCTTCTCCCGGCAATACTTATCCCGGCAATACTTACACCCCTCACTCTCTCTAGAGGCAAAAACTTACCCCGGTAAAGTTGACCCCCCCAGAATAAATTCACTACACCGTTTTTACCTTGGGCCGATATAACCATAAATCACCTGGACACTCAATCCTCCGTAGAGACTCCACCCTCGTGAAAATAGTATATATCGACGTATTTCGGTACTTTGACCGCAGGACACTCATTAGGGTGACCGAACACAACATGAATATAAAGAAAAATATCTTAAGTTTACCCAGTGTCTTTCAAAAGAGGATGGCATTGAAAGAATATATTGAATGCGATGTATATGCACCAGCTCACCGGTCTCCGCCAAAAGCATGCAAAATGTCCCGGCAGACGACGTGTTATGGTTCTTAATTGGCGAAAAGACAGCTAGTAGAACAACCATCTGATTGGTCAACGCCTTTGTGAACCTGCGTACTCCTGCATAAACAAACGTGCTTCCGGTTAGTGAATGTAAACTACCGCAATCGCAACTTCTCGGCCAATTCCGGCTAGGCGCGGAATATGATTCCGCGCCTAGCCGGAATTGGCCGAGAAGTTGCGATTGTAAACTACCGCTAACGGGACCGTCACGCTCTAGGTAACACGACTTTTTTCAGTCGTCACCCGGAGTAATTATTATACTCGCTAGGTGCCGCTAACATCGTGCCGCCATTACAGAAGTGATCATACTCATAAAGGCGGGCAATTCGAAAAGCAAAACAAGGTAGCATTGATATTTCTATAAAATTAACTGGAACTTCACTGAATTTATAATCACATGTGTAAAGTTGATAATGATGAATTCAATGAAAGAGACTGTTGCAAAATTCATCACATCAAAGGATGTTAAATCAAACGAGTGGATCGATGACATGCGCGAGTGGCCGGAGATCGAGTATGGCGACATTTACAACTATTTAGTTTTGAGTCGATCATGTGACGGAGAAGAGATGATGAATTTCAAGTCTATGGACAGTTTTAACTACTTTAAGAGTGGTGCTGTTGATTTTACACCATGTTACTGTTGACGGCATTGTTATGAAATGTAATGTACGACCATCACAGAGAATGAACAATGAGTACCACCATCCGTGGATTGTTTGCGACAGTAACGGTACAATCAACACAGGGGGCTGTTCGTGTATGGCAGGTGTAAGCAGAGACGTATAAAGCCTAAATGTGTTATATACGTCTCTGGTGTAAGTAAGACTTGTAGTTGCGTTGTTGTGGAAAGTGGAATATGCTGTCAAAACAGGACTTACTGGTAAGAGTTGCACAAAATAATAAACAACATCGACATTCTTGATAAAGATAAACTATTCACATTCACACAAACAACAACAAGGGGTAGGACAACAAAAAACTATTCAAAAAACAAAGCAGGACCAGGGTCACACAAAATGTTTTTAGCAGAAGAGTGGTGGATTCTTGGAATTCCCTTCCCAATTCAGTAGTAGAAGCCCCTTCTCTTAACTGTTTTAAATCTAGATTAAACATCTGTTGGAAAAATATACCGTCCAAGTTTTATCCTAGTTTTTATGCTACACAACCGGTTAACAGTATGTTACCAAACCAAGATGCGCCTATACTAGCAATTTAGCTAACAACGGTGTCGAAGAAGAGGTAAACAGGTAAACAGATGTTCAGGCTAAGTGGAATAAAGGAACGACAAAGAACATTGAGCCAGGTCTTGTTGCAGACATGGATTTCTCCAAACCAAAACGTAATAAGACGGACGAAGATGACATCGACCAGGAAGTAAACTATACTCCTTCTTTTCAAACCATCTAAAGTCATTCAGAGTTTCAAAAGTTTATTGATAGTTCAACATTAATGCCTTTATTTTACATCAAGGATTCACTTATCAACAAATCTGCAAGTGCTGACATCACCAATATTTCTATATGTGCTTCACTTCTCCATTCTGACCATGATGTTGATTTATCCTGTGAAAAGTGTGCACATTTAAAACAAATATGTGAAGCTCACACCTCATCAGATATCATCTGTGACACACAACACTGTTTCTCAATCCCAATCCGAGCTGTGACATGATAGCAGAAAACTGAGAATTACTGGCAGTTCATCACATAAGGTACCAATTCGGGAAACAACAAATCCAGACAGTTTCATAAGAGAACATGTTTATCCTACCTTTAGAGGCAATATTTACACTAGGCACGGACAGGACGGAGAGGTTAAAGCTAAACAGCAGCTGAGGAATGATGGGGACATCATATCAGATGTAGGAACAGTTATATCCCAAAGTGAACCATGGCTCAGTGTATCGCCCGATGGAATTATCCAAACTCCTTGTGACCACTTGTTGGAAATCAAATGTCCATTTCTTAAAGATATGTCTTTAGACACTTTGTTAACTTCTGGAAAGTATGATATTGTGAAAGAAGCCGATATGCATGTGTTTAAACCAAATCGACCCAGGGGCTATTACCTCCAAGTACAGTTAACAATGTATGTAACTGGATTGAAACTTTGTAAATTTATTATGTGGTCAACTTCAGATTATGTAACTGTAAATGTGACATATGATCCTGATTTCTGTAAAAGATCTATTGCAAGACTAAAGAACTTTTATTTCACTAAACTCTTGCCTAGGATTGTTGATGACTTTCATTCTGGTAGGCTGAGACTGTGTGCTCAATATGTAAAATCTTGTCAGTAAATATTTAAGAACAGCAAACAAAACAATTGCATTTCTTTCAAGATTGGTTTTATTAATATCACGCTCTTTTACTTTCAAATATGACTTGAAGTAAACAAAAACATTCAAAATATATGTATTTAGTAATTTATGAAAAATGTGATTACAATAGAAATGCTTGGTGTACAATGATTTAAAATTACACAATGATACACAGCTAGAACTAAGCTTAAATGATAATACCAGTACAAACTGAATTTCAGGGGTGTAACAATAACAATACTGGTACACCTTAAGTCTATTACGATATATTGCAATACAGAGAGAATGTATTGTCATAATATAAAGGTGCTAAATTTAAAAAGAAATTATCAAAATATTACCAAACTGAATCATAAATCATATGGATTAAACAGATTGTAAATATGCCACTGACTGGTATATGATATATATAGCATACAATTCATGTTACATGTACTAATTCTCAGGTCCCAATTAGATTAAATGTTGTCTGTCCAAACTGTATATTGAAATGTTTTCACTTTATTGTACCAATATTTTGTGAGGCAGCAGGGATCAATCTAGGTTTTAGGGGAATCTACCACCCTTTTTCAGATTTAGCGATAATTAAAATTTTGATACAAGGCTCAAGCTCTAGCATCATGAAGGTAAAAGATAAATGTTTGTCCGACATACATGTGTTCAAAATTGTTGAAATTTTGTCTAAAGTTATTGTTAAGAAATCGCATGTATATGCAGTATTATGATTTTTTACTGTTGAACTTTAAAGAAAACATTATAGGGAAATATTTTGAAGGAAAACCAGTTTTCTTGTTGAAATAGGGTAATTTTGAAGCACATAGGGGGATTTTCAAAGAACAGGGTAATTTTCTTAAATTTATCCCAGGACAGACAAGCACTTGAAACTGGTGTGAGCATATACTGTGTATAAATACCTAATTGTTAACCTATATAAAAAAATGCAATTTGACTCTTCCACAATGATTTTTTTTATTGTAGTTATTATGCACAATTGATCCGACAATGAGATGTATTACAAACTTATTGTATTCAGTTTGCTTTATATTGATCAATATATATTAAAACTCACAATAAATTAGGAATTTCAATTAATTATATTTGAAAAGAAATGGTAATTAAATTAATTACATGTATATATATATCCAGCCTGTATATGTTTTTGTGATATTAGTAAGGTTTTGAATTTGAATCAGTGATCAATTTCAGAAACAGGATTCGAAGGTCATTACATAAGGACATTTGATGATTAAAAGGTAGTTAGGTACTGTTTTTTTTAAACACTCTTCATGTTGACTCAATCAAGTAACATTTTAAGTATTGAATAAGCTAATGCTTGCCTTTGAAGAAGAATCAATTACATGTAATTAAAAACACTCCTGTTTCAAACTTGAAAGTTTTAGTTGTGTTCTTGATTTCCAAATTTCACACAAAATTATATCAACAGACTGCTTACAGTCAATATATTCTATATACTTTCTTGTAATATACTGTTTGACAAGGGATATGCTGTCCTTAATACCAAACATGTAAATAAACCATATATATCAGACATTTTATTCTGCTGTGACTGAATCATTCTCACCATCTACAGCATCTTTTATCAAAGCATTGCCTAAATTCACAAGAGCTGAACATACAATCAAAATGTCATCAGCCTTTTTAGCACATGATACAGGAATAACATCACTTAATATTTTGAATACCTTCAAACGCCTAATTGCCCTTTCAACATGAATACGTACATTTGCAATACGTCTCGTTTGAGTGACATCTACCTCAGACAGTTGATCTTTTCCTCTTGTAAAAGCAGGAATGTTTAACTTAACTCTTAGAGGAAATAACAGGTCATTGATAGTGAAACCACGATCAGCCATTACTTCATCACCTGGAAGAAGATGATTAAGGAAGCCAGAATTCTCAACTATAAACTTATCACTCGCCCTTCCACCAAACCCTTTAGATATAAACATAATCTGTCCATGAGGAGCAATACCAACTAAGTATTTTATAGTGTTATGTGATTTATAATGGCTATATGTCTCGCCTCTAGTTTTCAGATTTCTTGGACGCTGCATAAATGTTTCTGCACAATCTATTATCACAGTGGTTTTAGGATAATTCTTAAGAAATGATTCTGGTAAAGCTGCTCTTATAGTATCACGAGGCAACCAAATAATTAAATCTTTAAGTTTAACAGCAAGCAAAGGTAACCAAGATTTAAATATGTTTGAAGCATGACTTTCAGAAATACCAAATCTATGACCAAGATCAGCAAATAACAAATTCAGTC